GAATATTGTTAAACCAATCCAGTTTTAGTTGAGTCCAACAGAATTTGCTCCCAAGTAATGTTATTTAGAATAATCCATAATTCTGAGAAGTAAATTAGGGGAGGTTCTAACCTGTGTGTTGTGTTATATACGCATAGATATGCATATCTCAGGGTATGCTTATGGAATCCGCTGGGGGTGTAGCTATAGAGTTTACCACATTCTTTCACTCTAAAATTTACCATTACAACACTGGTAGGTCATGGAGAAAAGCTACACCAGGAGCCAATGCTTGAGAAAACTGGAAAATCTAGACCAGCTTTACCCAACCTGCTATCCCCCAGACCCAAAAGAGTACTTATGCTGATTTTCAACAGGAAAAAGATTAATGGTCCTGTGACATCTAAGAAAAATATTATTCCAAAGAATCTGATTTATTGAAATACATTTGAAGGCAATAAACTACTTTCCTGCCATTTCTTCTTCCTGTTACAAGAGCTGTCCCAATGTGGTACAATCCAGATGCATTGAACTATAATTCCATCAATGACTATGCTGTCTGAAAATGATGGGAGCTGTAATCCCAGACAGCTGAAGGTTAGAGGAAGGCTGATCTTCAACATTTACATTTCATGTATGTACACTTGGGAATGTCTGGACACGCAGCCTATGATTTCATACAGAGTGGCACCCTCTTGTTTGTCAATAGCTACAATAGCTCCGTGATGCATCTTCTGGCACTTCTTACTGCATGTTTTCAGATTCTGGATCTTATCTTCTCTGCTGCTTCCCAAGCACAGTATTCATTTTTCTAGGATAGAGTGAAAGGGGAATCCCTGCAGTGCTGATGTTGCTAGGCGACGCCAACAGTCATCACCAAACACCCAATGCTTAATTTCATAAAATTTAAGGGCACCAAAACATAAGGTTTCCTGGAATTCTTTTTTTAATTCTAGAAATGAAACAGCTATTTAAGGTCAAGGAAAACATTTCAACTTGTATCATTACAATGGATCATTAGTTCACAGATTCAAGAGTTTTGTTCCTAAAACAGAATCCAGGTTTAAGCTTCGTTTCAGTCTTTGTGGATGAATTAACATTTGTGCCTGAGATTGCTTAGAAAAATAATTTCCTTTCCATTTCCAGAGAAGTGTTTTATATGGTAGTTGGTCTAATTCAATGTTCCAAAAGTCCAGAACCAGGTTTCTCCTCAAGGATGTACTCAAGATTTCAGAGAAAAACATGTTTCTGCAATGCTTTTTAAAATCTAGAACTCGTAGTCCAATCATGCCTGGAAACTTTGAAATCAGTTGCTAGTGCAATCTCTCCCAAGAAGTATACTTAGAGATGTTTTGGAACAACTCTCAGAATTCCTAGTCCTAGCACAACTGTTGGTTGGAAAGCAATAGTTCAAACGAATCAGGAGGATTCCACGCTGGCAGAGGTTGATATAGAAATTGTTTGTGGAATGGTTGATGGAGGTATGATGAGTAGGAAACCTTGGACAATGAACAGTCTTAACTGTGGGATGCCCTCTCTCTGAAAAACCAAGTAAACAGTTTGGAGTTCTCTTCTTTTATCTCAGGTAATTATGGCAATCTAAAATGCTTTTATTACCTTACACAAATATGCCAGTGGCACCCCATGTGAAAAGATGAGAACATGCACTAGATTATATACATGCATATGTGACATCTAGAACTATTATAATGAGCTGCACATATACTGCCCAAGTCAGTTGCCCGAGCATTGGTGGAAGGAAGCCACTTGGATCACAAGAGGTTTATATGGAACTAATTGCACTGATTACTACTTGGTATAGTAGCACAGTGCTGGGTTCATGGATTTATCAGTGGTCGCTGTTTTATTATTAGTTTTGTTTGATTTTGCTATGGGATTTCATTGTTGATATCATGGGAAAACTTCAACATTTCCAAGTAGGAAAGCATTCACTGCAAACCTTCCTTAACATAGCTACTAATAAGATATTACAAAAGGAGTTTTACAGCCCCTCTAGTTCCTCTTCCTCCTGAAATTGGGCAGTGCTTTAGAGTGCCCTATTGGTTGGATCCAATTACCCCTGACCTGTAACTTACAGACCAGAATTCAAGGAATGGGGTGATTACCTCTGTACTAGTAATTGGAGTTTATATTTCATAATGCAACAGTAATCTTTCTGATCAAATGATCCTCTTTTTACAACTCAGTGTTTTATGTTGCTAGAAGAGTACAACATTTGTATGTAGCACAATAAGAAATCCTATTTGCAGCTAAAATTCTTTAAATTACGGTTGATATCTGGAAAACCACCTTACAATCATATGACCAAGCTAGTTCTCTTGAAAGAGAACTAGAGATCTGTTTCACTTTCCTCTTTTTTACATACACAGGACCCTTTTTTTTCCTTGCTCCAGATAGCCAGTAACAATGTCCAAAAGGCTGACCTTCCTCACTCCTCTAGTCAAAGCTAGTTTTAGTTCCAAGAGACTTCTTTTGAGGGAAATTATAGCAAGCAGAGGTTATTTTCATACCGTCCTTTCCATCAGAAACCATACTGCAACTCTTTGCCTTTTTTGTCCTTGTGCCTGGCCCCTTCAAAGTAACTTTCAGTATTCTAGACATTTTTAAAAACGACTTTGCTTCATTGAGGACTAACAAAGCTAATACTTAAAACTGTATTTTAATTGTCGTATTAAAAGAAGGAAAAGACCATATAAGCTTAGTGGGGGGAGGGGGAGACTGGAGATACAAAGCTTACAGGACAAAAAAAAGAACAACAACAACAAAGTTTTATCTAACAGAGGATACATGCTTAGTAGACATGACCAGAACGATATGCAGAACCACACTCAGCTACTCTGTAATTAAGTGTTAAATTAAGCGATGTAAGTGTTAAAATGACCTAACATTGCTTCTTATAGGTGTATGTGGCATAAATGCTTAACACTAAAATAATTCTCATAGTAGAACACTTGAACTAACAAAACACCCAGTGATTGTGTTTATATGAAATCTGTCAGGCAATTTTTCAAAGGTCACGTAGTTTGCAAAAGTAATGGGAAAAACAATAAGCAGATAAATAACTTTCAGACTGCTAAAGCAAAGTAAATTTAGGTTCATTGAGATAAAAGATAGATAGATTCAACTCAATGGCAAGCTGGATTCTAATGGCTTCCCACATGCTTCTGATTTCTAATTTGGCCTGTTTCCAATGATGTCTGTAACAAACTGTGTTGACATCACAGGGTATGTGTATGATGACATCATCACATAAATGCTTCAATTACATGCTTGGGCTACAAGGTCTGAGGCAAGTACAGAGTGGGAACTCTGTCACTAAGTGACGCAGTCGTAAAGCGTGATATTGCATGACTGCACCAACTTACGACAGCAGTTCCAGCAGTTTCAGTTGCAGTTGTTAGCAAATCCTACATGATCATTTGGCACGATGTCACATGATTGCCATGTGCAACCTCCTGCTGGCTTCCCCATTGACTTTGCTTGTTGGAAGCCAGCAGTGAAGGTAGCAATTGGCGATCCTATGACAGTGGGATGCTACGACCATCGCAATTGTGAGCTGGTTGATAAGTGCCTGAATTGCGATCATGTGACCGTGATGGCCTCAACTTCAAAGACCAGCTGTAAGTCTCCTTATTCACTGTTGTAACTTTGAACTGTTGTTGAACAAATGGTCTTTAACCGAGGACTGTATGTAAATTGTACAATTGTACAACTTGCATTATAAACTTGCATCATTAAACACATGTTGTCATGTGCCCTCGTGAGTCCCCTCTGCAGACACATGTGCCCATTTTCTTATTCATTATTGGTTTATAATCCCACTTTTGCTCCAGGTCAAGGAAATATACATAGCAGTCTTTCATCCATTTTTTTTAAAATCCTGAACAATCCTATGAGATTAGTTGGGTGAGAGATAGTGACTGGTCCAAAGTCATCCAGTGATCTTTGATAGCTCAGGACAGAACATGGGTCTCTTCAATCTTAATTCAACATCTTAACAATTCCACCACTATCATACGTTTTTTTTCAAAGTTTTGTGCAGACTTCCCCCAACCTAATGGTCTCAGGATGCCCTAGATTTACAATTGTCAGAATTTTCCCATTGACTGAGAGTTCTGGGAGTTTTACTTCAATATACCCAGGTACCAGACTGGGGACAAACTGGCATATCTGACAATATGTAATTACTGAATCATTCAATTATTAATCTATAAGAATTCTCCGACTCAAAATGCAATGTACAACAGATGCTTACATCCAAAACTGAGTCCTGGATGGGAATGCCATATCTCTAAATGTCAAAAGAAACCCTTGCTTTTGATATTTCTAGAGTGCTTGCAGAAGTTGTACTTCTGGTTCACTGCTTTTGTTCTCAAAACAGTGATTGCTAGGAGCATTACAGAGAAGGAAACATAGTAAAGGCCTGAAAATAACTTTCTGTGTAGCAAGAGACATAATTCGGAACATTTAAAAGTGATGATCAAGCAGAAAGAAGATATCTCTCTAATGAATGTCTAGAGTGATATGGACACTGTGTATGTATTCTCAATTTGGGAAATATTTTTTTGTTACTCATAAAACCACTATAGAGACTTCAAGACACCTTTCTGTCTGAAGCCATGGATTGTAGTCTTTCATCTTTCTTCCCAGTTTTTATTGTTGCCACTTTGATGGATTAGTAATTGTCCTTCCTAATCCTGAGGATAGATCAACTTTTCTCATTCACATCAACTGGAAGCAGATCAGCTTCCTGAAATCTGTAAAGTATTGAATGGAAAGTGTTGACTGTTAGTGATTCATGGGTACAACCTTTATTAGCAAAAGATAAAACAATTATTGAATATTATTTTACAGTACAAATAACTCCCTCCAGTGCCACATGTACAATATTTTATTTGGAACAGATAATTGATTGCATTTTAGCAGCTTGTAGTAAGGTCATAGTCTTCTTCCAGAAAAGTCAGATATCATCAAAGAGGTCTTCAGGGTCACTGGTGCTTTTCTCATCCTCTGTCTTTTTCAAGGTCAGTTGCTTCTCCAACAATTTTGGTGGAGCAGAATTTAATCTAAAGTTCAAGACATATGAAATAAATTTATGTTTGTTACTTTAAATAAAATTAAATGCAGGCACAACATTGGAAAACGTTATCTTCTAATATACTCTATGGAAACTTTATTCAGATTTAGAAGAGAAAGAATATTTTTCAAAGATGCTTGTGGTTTGTTCCTCTGCGTGATGGCATTTAAATTTTAGAACTAGATACTGTCACTTTTCCATTTAATATATTGTCTTAATTCCAAATATATATAAAATAACAATCCAACCCATGAAGTAACTGAAAACATTGAAGAGTTTAAAAGTTTCTTGTGTGCAATTTATAATATTTTCAACTATTTTGACATTACAGAGTAAATCACATTTCAAGTTCCTGGGCTTTATCTTCTGTATATCCAGTATGTGGTTCTGTTCTGTTCTGTTCTGTTC